GAAGCTTTTGTGGTTTAATCATCTCACCTTTACGAGCAGGTCTTTGGCCGAGGCGGACATAAGGATCCGGTCACACCAGGCGGGACATCGAGTGTTCATGTACTGCTTTCCCTGACTGCAGTCTTCACTGTACGGATAACTGCACAAACACACACTGTATTCACTCATAATTGGTCAGAGGTGTCAATCTGTGATCCATAATCACTAAATTATGAATGCATTTTAATTTTACAGCATGAGATCATAACCAGAGTCTGTGCGTTTGTGTGAAATGCATCGTCTGCTATTGCAAATGCAAATGTTCTGTTGTGACTAAAACTACAATCAGCAGCAGAAATCACAGAAATCACACGTTCATAATGCACGTCAAAATCAACGTTATTTTGCATTCTGAAAATGATGCCTATTTTTTGGTCATTTGGGTCATTTGTGACATTATTCTTATTTCCCTCTCAATTCTTTTTACTGTAATGCAATGCAACACACCTCGTACACCTCGTTTTTATTTAATGAAAATCATCATTTATTATTATTTTTTAATTATTATTCAATGTGCATAAAAGAAATTAAATACAACTAAAACTATTGTGATGTATACTTGTATTTTAAATAATATAATTTACATATATATTATTTTCTTCACATTTTATTTCTACTTTCAACAGTGTTGCTTTAAATAATGCATTCTAGCATGAAATAAATTATGTACACCAGATGCATATTTTCATGTGTGTTTGAAGATGTACTTTAAATAATATTTTTAAATAATTAATTATTTTCTTGACTTTATGGGATGTTTTTGCAAAAACTACTGATGTATACTTTCAATAGTGTTTTAAAATGTACTTTAAATAATATAATTTAAATTAATAATTAATAATAAGCATAGCACAAAATAAACTCTACACAACAAAAACTACTGTGACGGTTACTCAATTGTGTTTTAAGACGTACTTTAATATTACTTTAAATTATATAATAATTATAATATAGTATAAATTATATGATATAATAATGTTATTC